ATCTGTGCCATCCTGGTTAAAGTAGTTTTATTTGGCAATAATAATAGATGCATTTACAGCCTGTCTACTGACAAGCTGTGGTAACTATTAGCCTGATATCTGTAAGCATAGGAGGAAGGTCTACAGAAACATATTATAATCAAATTTATACCAGGTACTTATATGTAATGATTTTCCATTTAGCATAGTGATTTTTTTGGAAGGGGATACTGGGACTCAAACTGAAGACCTTGTGCTTGTTAGGCAAACACTAAACCACTGAGGCATATCCCTGGCCCCTAGTGTAATGATTTTACCCTGTTTTGGAGAAGGTGCAGGAGAATAAATGGTCAGAGGGAAAGATGAGAGGGATATATTAGGAGCTCCTAATTAAATATATTAGGAGCAACGTTGAAGAGCACAGGATGATCATCCAGGTTTTGGGTAATTGTAGTACTCTATCTGACAGCACTCTATTCTATCTATCTTTCAGCTATGAATATATCAGTGGAGTAATCCATGGGTAAGGAAAGTGGTTCCATGACACTATCACATCCCAAAAGCCAAATCCCTCACACAAGAGACTTTTAGGGACACTTTTAGACCTACACCATAAATTTCAGTAAAGCATTACATCATATGAGTAATAATTGGTCCAATAACTACAACTGTGCATATATATGTTAGTAATTTGATTTTAAGGTTTCAGTTATCAAAATTTAAAGCTTCAAGGGGCTGGGGATTTAGCTCAGTGGCAAAAAGCACCTGCCTGGCAAGAGCAAGGTCGTGAGTTCGGTTCCCGGTACTGGAGAAAAACCAAAAACCAAAAACCAAAACAAAACAAAACAAAAAATTTAAAGCTTCAGTCCTCATTACTCTGATTTTTCAAGTTATAAAATTATACAAATCATCTATTAAAAGATCCTAGAATTTACTAGAGTTCTACCTTCTCAACACTTACTTTTCTTTTCCTTTTTAGGGACTAGGTTTTGAACTCAGAGCCTTTACACTGACAGACATCACCAGCCTGTTTATTTTTACTATCTGAGAGGGTCTTGCTGACTCACTAAGATGCACATACTTGGTCCAAACTTGCATTCCGCCTACCCCAGCCTCCCAGAGTACTGGAACTATAGAGAACTGCCAAAATCTATGGCTTAAACCACTTACTTTAAAAGCAACAGAAAAACACAAACATATTAAAAGAATTTCTACCATTAAGTAATGAAAATAACACGTCAAGGTCATGTATAAGAAGTGATTTAGATCCTATGTGCTGCAGAAATTTAGTAGATTCATGATGAGATACAGTGACCTTTAAACAAAACATAAGACAGCAGAAAGCTACAGTGGTTACAGAAGTAAAATGTAGATTAGCAAAGAGAAAACCAGTGAGCACTACAGGCAAACCATTTATGAAACTGGAAAATTGCACAATATGTTTACAGGAATGGATTTTATTCAGAAAGTATTTTGTTTTGTCAATTTTTAATGAATATGCTTACTTAAGTTTATCTAAAACAATAATAATTCAACATCTTCTAATAAGCAGCATTTTCTTTTAAAAGCTGTGTGATATTAACAATAGCCTACATTACTCTGTGCCAGGCACTTACGCCACTGTTCTACAGAGATTAATCCCTTAATTGAGATGTTTACAATCTTATTTTATATCATCCTCAAATAAGAAATCTTAGTAACAGAAGTAACCTGACTTGCCTTGATCACTGTTCTATTAACTATGAAAGCCAGTTTTCCAAGTCAACTTACAGTTTGCAGAGACCATATCCTGAAAATATATATTTGATACAATCTAAACATACTTGGGAACATTACAGATTCTTTGAAGATCAGAATATTTATCTTATTGACTTTAACCATTTCACATTCAGTGTGATGAAACCAGAAAATCACAGGGATCAAGATGTGTAAGTCTGTACTAGAAGCTTGCCTTTGCTACATATAATCTGTACAACATGCAAGTTCACAAATTCTTTATGTCTCATTTTATCATCATATACTTATATAATACTACACATACTTTCATGTTTGTGAAACCTAATATGAAAGTATCCAATACATACACCATGCTATTCAAAGTACAGAATGTAACATACAATAAGAATCTAAAAATATATATTTAGAAAATAATTTCCATAAATAAGATAAAAGAGGCAGCACAATATTAAAATGAATATCATTGCTTAGTAAGATATTCTTAGTGCTTAGCTATCATACTACTTTCTAAGCACTGTTTAAGCATTTCACATTTACTAATTCATTTAAAATTTAAAACATTGTAAACATTTGCTCACATTACTATTATGACATACAGAACAGAAAAAGAAACAGAAATGCTAGATTTCCTAAATTCATACAGTTCTTGAGTCCCAGAAATATAAATTACATATTGCTTTTATTAAATACACATATATTGCTGTAAATCAATACCTCTTAGCCGGATGAGGTACATTGTCCCAGGGATTTAATCAGAGTAAGCCAGAAGGTTATTTTAAAATTATACTTATTCCTTCTTGCTCATGTTTCTTTGGCTTTTATAAATGAGGGTATAAATATATTTTATCAGGGCAGGATAAAGTTAGTCACATACAATATTAGATGATCTTAGGTTTTCAGAAATATTTAATTTTATTCCTATCTTTGAGACAGGAAAATAAATGCCAAAATGCATCTAAAGTCACATTTCCATTATTTTTTCTTCAGATTTAGGTTGATTTTTTACATTAGAGTACCTGACTTATATAACTACTCTTATAACATTGGATATTTACCTAATCATCACAGAACCTGAGAATTATACCATATATATGTTTGTGTGCACGTGTATGCTATGGGGTGTATACACACATCATTACGTCTATTTAAACAGATATACAGATGTATATACATATATATAATGGTATATACATGTAAATGCATGTACCTGAGTGGGTATTTACATAATGTGCATGAATGTACATAATAGAGTTTATACATATACTGTGTATACACATATATAACATATGCACTTTTTTTTATTTTAGAGTAGCAGAAAATTTGAAAAGTACAGTGTTCTGCACTTTTTTTCTGTACAGAAACCAACAAAAGGTTTCTGTAATTATCAGCGACTTGCCCTAACAAGTGACCTGTATTCCAGTTAAGCAATCTGTGCTATTATCATTAATGGAAATAAAATCTTTATTCAGATATTACTAGATTCACTTAGTTTTCCTGTGTACTTAGTTTGTCCCAATGACTTCTCAGTGTCCAAGGGTCTCAGTGAGGACTCTGTGTTACATGTACTCGTCGTGTTCCTTGGGCTCTAATCTGTGACAGTTTCCCAGATTTTAATTTTGTTGTATTATTTCTACAGTTTTAAGGGGAATTGCTCAGTTATTTTGAAAATGTCCCTGTATAGAAATTGTCTTACATTTTTCTATGATTAGACTGAGCTTATGTTTTAAGAAGACCACAGGTGGGGCTGGGGATTTAGCTCAGCTGCACACCGCCTGCCTGGCAAGAGCAAGGTCATGAGTTCGATTCCCGGTACCGGGAAAAAAAAAAAAAAGAAAGAAGACCACAGGTATAAGATGCCATTCTTGGCATAACACCAAGAGAAATGATTTATCACTGTTCATGTTAGCCCAGATTACCTAGCATATGGAGTGTTTTTCTTCTCTCCATCCTTCTACCATTTTGGTCCATTGATTCCTATCTGTATCTTTTTGACATAGCCTCAATAGTGTGTGTGTGTGTGTGTGTGTGTGTGTGTGTGTGTGTGTGTGTTTAATGTTTCATTTCTTTGTAGAACTGCAAGGTATTTCAAGGACACTAATATATTTTTTGTCTCCATTTTATAATTAACACTCTGACCAAAAATATTGCAGTTTTATGATGGACAAATACCATTGTAAGCAGATTTGGACAGTAGGTATGCTCATGGACACAAGGGTGCTGTTGGCTGTAAGACATTTCAGCTTACATGAAAACATATTAGTTTGTCCTAATGACTTCTCGGTGTCCAAGGGTCTCAGTGAGGACTTTGTGTTACATGTACTCATCGTACATGTAACACACAAAACTAAACTTTCCAGACATGGAAACATATTTATCTATTTTAAACTATAAGTAAATAAACTATTTCCATATGAAAATATATTTATATTTGTGTTTATCCATAGACAGAGCTGAACAGAAGATTTATGTTCTAAATATGCACACTTAGCAAATTGAAAGATCAATTTCATTGTTTTTGTAATTTGCATTTCTAGTTTGTTGTAATATTTAAAGTAAATAAGTATTAGATTCTTTCAAATTTTTTGTGTGTTTAGTCAAACCTGTATACTTGAAATAAAGTCCACTTCATTGTGTTATATAAATCTTTTATACATTGATAGTATGATTTGCTATTCATTTGCAGATGATTTCTTATACATGTATCTAATTCTTTGAATTTCCATCCAGCCAGTATTTTATAGCATCTTCTATATTTGATAAATAATATATTCTTTTTCATTGTTAAAATATTTTCTTAAAACTTTTGCAGTGAACCATAGTTTCTGAGAAGAGGACTGTTGAATTTCCAAACAGTTAAGAATCACCCAGTCATCTTTGTTTCATTGATGTGTATCTAGTGTGATTTGAGAACATGCTTTAATGATTTAAGTTTTCTTAAATTAGTTCAGATATGCTTCATGGCACAGAATGTGATCTATCATGATAGATGCTCTTCCGTAGTTTAGAGGAAGCCCACCCACATAAGGAAGTACATCCTGCATGGCTCAGTCTACTAACTCAAAGTTAATTTTATTCAAAAATGTATTCACAGATATAATCAGAATAATACTAATCAAAGATTTCTTAACTTCACAGCACAGTACAAGTTGACACATTAAAGTGACCATCACATAGAACAAAGAATTCTTTTCTCATATACGAGACATACTTGTATTATTTTTTCATTATAATACTAGCCTTTCAAAATTGGTAAACTAACATAAGGAGAAATAAGATAAACTCACCGAGTATTGGAAATAGTGTTGCTGTTGTTCACATCTTGAGTGCCTTCCCTCAAGTTTTAAAGGTGTGTCACCAGCCTGTGGCACTCCTGAGAATAACTTCCGCAGCTGGGGCGTATGAGACTAAAGTGAAGTCATAGGTCTGCCATTGAAGAAGAAATCACCATCATGGCCGCTCTTCTTTCTCTGAAATTCCTGCCTTCTAGGAGGTGAGTAGCTCCTCCCCCATGACACTGGAGACCCAAAGCTACATTCCCGAGCGACTATGGGCTGACTTCTCTGAATCTGTGAGTCAAAATAAAATTGTCCTCCTTGGATGTCATGGATTCAGGCATTTGTTACAGCGAAGAAGGCTAACTTCTCACAAATGCCATTTAAAGCGTACACATACTTAACATGAATTATGCAACAATTAAAAAAAAGAATCTAAAGTTTCTAGGCATAAATATTACCAAAACTACAAACTGACTTTTTAAATTAAATTGGATTTTTAAATGAATAACTCGTTTCTGTTTGCTATTTAAAAAAAAAAAAAAAGGAAAAATGAAGGAAAAGAAGTTTGATAATCTTGTAAGCTTACACTTTTCTCATCCTTACCTTGTCAACTAGAGAATGATCTAGAAAATAGTCTGCTCATCAGACATCCTGTGCCACGTATTCCATGGTGAGGAATGTGATTGACATTTCCTAGTGGCCATTGTAACGTGCAGTGCAATGGCCTGTTCCTGATTTTCAAATTAAATATATAGTCACTTTGTGGAAGAAAAAACACTGCAAGCATTTCCAAAAGGAAAGAAAGAAGGAAAAGGAAGGAAGAAGGGAGAAAGGAAGAAAGAAAAGAGGGAAGAAATGAAGAAAAAAGGGAGGAAAGAAGGGAGGGAAGGTGGGAGGGAGAAAAGAAGGGAGGAGAGAGAGAAAGAGACGAAAGCAAAAGGAATTAATAGAGGAGAAGCAGTACGAGCCCATTCCATCCAATTATAAATGAAAAAATCTGTGAGCAGTTCTGAAAAAGAAATTCTCAATCATGAGGTTATTAAGCTAAATATCTCCTATATTCCCTTCACATTAAAAATTCTACAAATGTATTATAATTTATACTGACAAGCAGCTAAGAAAAATTTTAGTATATCTTTAAAAATGGCTTCAGTTTACTAATAAAGAATTGAATTAACACTTAAAATAAAAATACACTTTGTTCTAGTCTGTTTAATTATTTGTGATTGTCATCACACTTTCTACCTTCCTCAGAAATACTCAGCCTAAGTGGCATCCTTAACAGTGTGTGCTTCCTCTCCGACAATCTTTAAAAACAGGCATATGATGAGAAATAAGCAAGTAAATGTCTATTTGTGCTGACTTGATAGATAATTGGAAGATAATTTGCAAGTTCTTTTAAGAGTTTAAAATATCCCTTCTGGATTAGTTCCAATAGCTTTCTTTTGTTGTGGTTGTTTTTATTTGAATTGGATGATTAAATTTTAAAAGTGTTTTAGTTTTGAAACATGGAACTAATATTCATATTACTTAGACCCAGGTCACACTCAATTATAAATATGCATATGTTTCTAATAGCATAAATTTTTGAGATGTTTTTAATGAAACATTCAGTTATTTTTCTTTTGCAAAACTTACTTTGCTAATTTATAACTGGGTGTCTTTGTGTAGGATTTACATTCTTAACAGAAACTTGTCCAACAGATATGTATATCTACATTCAGAACCAAATGATTACAATAATGGAATGAAATTTACAGTAATAATAAAACAAGTTTAGGCAACTAAGTGTGTTCACTACAGAGATTATAGCTCCTTCTATTTTATGGGAAGTGGTTTTGGAGCATTTTATTTAGCAACTGAAAAATACCCTTACACTGACCTTTGAAATTTACATAAATTAATGAAGTAAATGTAGCTTATTTCTAATAACTCATGTGGTATGTTCTAGGGCTGCAATGACTTGAACAACTCAAGCTATTTTGTTTGAAAGAAAAGAAAGAAGGAAATAAACTGTCTACATGCAGTAGTCCAAGAGAGGACACTGCAGAGTGGCTCCGTAGTTGTTATTGTCCTGCTTACTGTCAGTACACTGAGTAGCTTGGTTGTATTCTACCCACAAATGTTGATGTCTGGTGTCTGATACTGAGTTGAGCAACTGGAAAATGTTTGTCCTTGATGATCTCCCTTGGACGTGCTGGACCTTCTGCTTTTACTGACCGTCACACATCATATAATATGTTTTTTCTTTTCTTTATTGCCCGGAGTAGTCAACTAAAGTGGTTTAGGGTATAGGGTAAATAGCAGTCACTATGACATCCTCAATAATAAAACTTTCTAGTCCTTCCAGGCAGGTAGGAAACTTGGATATCTTTTATTCCACTTGGTATGTGAAGAAAAATGAAACTCACACTCTCTTTAGTGATCTCTTCCTTTCTGCTCTACTCATATATATCCAACTGGTCTATTGACCTATTTCTAATTGCTGTGTTCAGTTCAGTATCTGTCAGACCTGGGAGTGGTGGATGTGGTGCGTAATATGCTATATTTCTCATGTAAAGAGTTTTGCAGATTGCAAAACTGTAGCTACAGTAATAATACTTAGAAAATTCCCTTCTTTGAATAAGAATTCACTTTTAAATTGATTGCTCATTTTGTACGAAGGCATTACTTAATAAAAAGAAGTGAAACACTGGTGCATATCTCTTTTACCACTTCAGTTAATAATCACTTTTCTAATTTTTTAAATTACTTGTTATTGTCTTTAATTGTTTCATCAATCTTGCATTCTTACATCTGGTTATCTGAGCAACTTCATTGAAGATAACAATACATAATATGACAACTATTGTTAATTTCCATCATCTTATTTTGAAATCCTGTATCATTTTTAATGTTTTTGTATTATTTTGTTTTGGTCTTCATTGTTGTCATTTTACTATTGTTTCCTTTTTAAAATAAAAAGAAATAATCTACCTTTTCAAGTTCATTTTTCTCACCAATACTTTAAGCCCAGAGACAGAGAGAGAGAGAGACAGACAGAAGAGAGACAGAGAGACAGAGAAAGAGAGACAGAGACAGAGAGAGACAGAGAGACAGAGACACACATACAGAGGCAGACTTCTTCCCTGACCAGTAAGCGCATGTTAAGTGGGAAAATACAAAGGAGAAAAGCCAAGTAACAATCAGTATTCTTATTTCAGTATAAGCAATCTGCAATTGTGAAGGATCAGGAAAAAGTAATAATAATTTACAACTAGTTGGTGCCCTGGTGGACTAGGTCTGCCACAACAGAAGGCCATAGACTGCATGGCTTTGAAAGCAACATTCCTCACAACTCCACAAGCTAGCAGGTGAATATAATGTGCAGAGCAAGTCTGTCTTTGAAGCCCTGTTCCTTGATTTTCAGAGAGCCTTCCTTTTTCTCTTTTGTCTTCACTTAGCCATTCCTCTGCCTATGTACTCCTGTTTCCTCTTCCATTTCTAATAAAGACGCTGGTCTTATTAATGGTATCCAACTCTCATGAGTTCATTTAACCTTACTGTGCCTTAAAAGGTCATTACCCTTAAGGATAGTTCTATGGGATGTTCTGGCTTCAATCTACAAGTACAAGATTGAAGGAATAAATCACCAAATATCTCATGCGTAGTCCTTGTTCGCATTCCATATTTGCTCACTGACCCTTTATTTCCTCATCAGTTCTGTAGCAAATTACTCTGATTTAAATTTGCCTAAATGAATGATCTCAGTTTTTAAAAGTCAAATAAACCATTTAGGGAATGGTATATTTTTCTCATTGGTCTCCACAATTTCCCTCCATTATTTTATGGATTGATCCGCTAATGCATGGATGGATTCTATTTTTTTCTGTTCCTCACCTTCATCACAATAAGCAACAATTCTAATGTTTAATGGATGTCTTTTTATATGTCTTCTTACACATAGGTACTGTTTGATAACCACCCATTTATATACACATTATTGTTCTGGTACCATGTGTATTGTTTATTTCTGTCCCTTTTGTAGGAAAATACTCTATTTTAAGAGCTTTCCTTCTTTTAATTCAGGTCTCTAGTCCTTGCTTCTCAATACAGTAAGCATTCTACCTGCACTTACATTGTGTTTACTTTGATAGAAGTAGCAAGGTCATGTTTTAGTTAGGTGGAGTACAACCTTATTCATATTCTCACAGTGTTGTCCACACTTCCTAAGAAGTAAAAGACTCAAATTAAGAAAGTAAGCAAAACAAAATTGGTTCAAATAAAACAGATTATATTCAAACAATCCACTGTCAAGTAAACCTGTTGAAGAAATCCACAAACATAAATAACAACATATGCATTCCCAAGGTCATCAGCAATTTTATATATTCCATGGGTACAATCATGTTAACCCACTGTACATGTTATATATATAATGGAAAAATGAATAAATAAACAGAGTGCAGATATCTAACCTGATTTCCTTGGAAGTAAAAGAAGATCTCATGGGCAATTGAGTTTAAATAAATTTTTCCAGGAAAAATGAAATCAGTGGAAAAGCAATAACAACAACAACAACAAAAAAAAACTTCACAAGGGGCTGGAGATTTAACTTAGCAGCACAGCGCCTGCCTGGCAAGCTCAAGGTTGTAAGTTCAATTCCCAGTACTGGAAAAAAAAAACAAAAAAAGTGCCCCCAAAACAAGCAAACAAACAAAAAAATGAAAACAGGAAAGGCAGAAGCAGAACAACAGTTCCACTGATTTCAGTTGAACTGTCACCTCTCGCCTGTAGGCTGCCCCTCAGAGGAATTCTTGGTTAAGAGTGTTGCCTGTGGCAGGTGCCAGAAGGACGCCCACAATCATTACTGTTAGTGACCGGCTCTAGGCTGCCTGGATCTCTGCCATGGAAGGAAATTTTCCAGGCTCCTGCCCTTGATGTTGGCAAAGTTGCTAGAGCAGCTTAACTGTCTTCTCTCAAGGGAGTCCCAAGTTCAAGTATATTAGAAGGAATGGTACATGCAAGCCTGGGGATAAGTCTGAGAAATGATACACAAGATAGCACAAGATCCATGAAAAGTACTAATACTATTTACTGTATGTGTAAAACTGCAGAGATTTTCATCTTGGTAATTGATGACACCAGTAAGAAGACTAAGTGGGCTAGCTTTTCTGGTTAGTCAAAGTTTACTTATCTGTACTTATTTTAATTACTGATATTTTAATGTATAATTATGCTGAATGAAATTTCTAAAGTACTGCCAGTTATTACCTGTGCTTTAAAACAAAAATTTCTTTTTACATTTGCAGACAGATAAAACCTGGGGAGGTTAAGGATTGTTTTCTTTGTCATGCCAACATCTGGGGCTCAGGATCACTGAGCTACATATTTAATAACGAATTTCTAAAAACCATAATTTGACCTCATATTAGTAATGATCACAAAATATATTGACTTCTGTAATTTAAATCATTTAGAACTTAGAATAGCACTTGACAAAATTTAGTGCTACTTAAATGTTCATGATAAAGAGCATAATTGACAAAGCGGTGGGCACAAATAATTCAATGAAAGGATATAAAAAGAATATAATTTATAGTTGAGCAAATAATTTATGTGTGCATTATTTTCTTCAAGTAAAGGCATTTTTTTTCAAAAGAATGTCTATTCTGTATGTTTCATTTTTGAAAGACTCCATAGGTTGGTCAGTGTGTCGCTGTTTGAGACCTGACAGTGAAATCACATCTGAAAAAAAAAAAAAAAAAAAAAAAACAGCCCGAAAACCAAAAAACAATTAAGTTGTCTTTCATTAAAATTGTATTCTTGACCTATTTCCATACTTGAAAGTATGCTTTACATTTCCTGCAATACAGCCTTCTTGAACTTAGTAGCACGTTTAGATGCAGTGCTTCTTGTGAACTGCGGAGATTTCTTTTACATATCTTCCTTCTAGCAATTTCTATAAGTAGGTCAATGTCACACCATATGGAAATGCATGAATTTTGAAAAGGCACAGATTTTGTTTTCCATTTTACGCCCTTCTGAATCTTAGTTTTTGAAAATATGAGACAGAATTATTTATTAATCACCCTATTTTATAATCAAATACCACTTCTTTCCAGAGTTCACAGAAAATAAAGAGAATAAAATTAGGAAATAGTCTTAACATTAGTGGCAGTTATAGAAAATATTTTACTAAATTACTACATTACTAATATTTTGTATTTAACTATCAAATAAAGATGCAATTTATTAAGACAAATTAATAAAAATTTTTCACATTTCATTGTTCAACTATTTTAATTTATTTGTATTCTGCCTGTTTAAAACTTACATTTCTTTTAAGTATTTTATGAAGTAGTTTTCACAAATATTTTAATATCAATTTGCCAAATTAACATCAAGTTAAAAATCCATAAATAATTCAAGTGAATTAAACCAAAGTAATGACATATTTTGCCTTTTATTATTATTTAGTTGTACAATTGCTTTTCTCTGATATTAAAACTAATATTTTAGGAAATTTACCATCAAATGTATAAAACAAGTTTAAATAACAATTAACATGCAAATTTTTCAATAGATCCTAACTGGGATAACACTAGCCCTTCTATGTAGTATTGGCCTATTTTCTATCTACTATCCTCATGGATTCATGTGGAAGTAAAATTTTAGAAAACTAATAATTTTTTATTAACACCAGATATGAATAACAAATAACAATAATCAAGGCCAGATTAAAGTTTTGGTGGAACTTTTCTAATTTGTGGAAGCTCTGTTAGACAAAACAATGAGTCAAAATTTCACATATTAAATCAGTGCACTTCTGAACATTTAAAGTGTTCACACACACACACACAACATTTCAAAGATGAAAAACAGAAGAATGATCTTTAAATTATGATTTAATTTTTTTGCCTGTATTAGAATATTCCTTTTGGCTACATTTGAATTGTAAGAATAATTTTAAAGGTAAGGAATAAAGAATAAAATTATTCTTATATTAATTATACAAAAATAATTTTAATGATTTTAAAATTAAACCTAAATGGCATTATGATTCTCAGTGTATTTGGATACACTGTGCAAATTGACTGTCTCTTAAGTATGTATAGAAGTTTTGTTATTTGAGAAATTGATTCTTTGGGTCAATTTGTTGCCTCAGTTCACGTGGTTATTCATTCTTTAATGGTGCTACTTAACGGGGGAAACATATGTCAGGTATTCTGCGCATAATCCAGATGCTTTACACCAATGTGTTTACTATAAGAAATACTACTGCACATGCACCTGCCACTGAAATCCCTCAGTTGTATATTAGAAAATTCCTTAAAAAGGAAAGAGAAATATGCAGTGTGTCTATGATTGTATAAGACATATTGACAGGTACTTTTCTAACAGGAAAGAACTTGTCAAAGCCCTGATGAGAATCTAATTTTCTGTTTACAACTCTGTCCTTGAAGATGGGAAAGTTTCCACAGGATAGTTATTAGTTCCTTGCCCATAAGATCCTTCTTGTCTTCCAACTCATAATAATGTTCGGTAAACTTTAGGATATGTCAGTATCCTACCTCTATCTATCTCTTATCCTCTATTTTGTAGTATGGTGCCAGGTGGGTTGGCTCAGTGAATGACAAGAGTGTGCTGGTAGCCAACATGTCTTCATAAAGCAAAATGTTAAGTATTAAGTAATTATGTGGGGTTAGAAGGGACCCCTGTGGGAAGTTAAAAGACCTAAACCTTTTTTAGAGGGTAAAAAATGCAGCCTCTGTGTAGCTATGAGCAGCAAGCAGTTTTCAAACAGCTTCATGCCTGAGAGCTGACAGTCTGTGGTGTTGACACCTACCTATGTGCAGGTGACACTGCCCTTCCTAGTGAGATTGCTACCCCTACCGCATTAGCCCAAGAGAGCAAACCTCTGGTAACAAGCCCAATATCCACTCAACCAAGTGCAGCCCTCAAAGGGGTAAAGACAAGACCCCTACCTATTCCCTATCTTATGGCACTGGGATGACCGAGTCAGAGGGGCGAATGCAAGGACAGTGAGAAGCAGGGACAGAAGATACTGGGTCATGGCAGAGCTGGCGTGGCTGGTGTGGCAGATGGCTATAGACATGACCACCCGGCACTGGAAATTACCCTTTGGGCAACCTTTACAGATGTAGAACAGCTATTCTTAGAAACCCACTTGCATACACTGGAAGCCCCCTAAAACTCCATAAACCTTAGCCCAGCCTAGTAACAAGCTCATCCTAGCAACAAAGGCTTAGATCCTGATTGGCTTAAAACCCTTATAAAATGTGCAGAGCGAGGACATCAGCTGAAGAGCCCACTTCCAGCTCTCTGTGCTGAGCAAACTTGTCCCTGGACAGCTTCGTCCCTACCTTTACAATGTTGGAAGCAAACGTCTGCTTTGCACTCTTTCCCCTCTCTGAGCTCCTCATTCTGTATCAGAGGGATCTGGGATTTGAGTCAGCCCAGCTGTGCTCATTTATGCCTCGCTGGAGTCAAGAAGGGTCGCCCCAGGGGAGCCTGGGCTCCCGCGGTGACCTCACAATTGTGTTCTGCACTTGTCAACGGAGTACACTTGAAGTGTGTGTATCACGAGCGGGCACCTATGAGAGAAGATGAACACCTCATTTCCCACACTTTGAGAACTAAACATATGCGAGGATAGATTTAATATTGTGTTTCTTCCCTTCATTTAAAACAGTTTTGTGTTCAAAAACTGTAATTTTAATCGATTGCCGTGTACTTTTAAAAATCGTAATCATGCTAAATTACGTAATTACAAAATATTATAATTATCAGCAATCATACAAGAACAGCTTGTAATTATGTAATTACCAGGTGGACTTATAGGATTATAACACATAAACATGTCAAAGGATTTTAATATAATTAGGTCCTGCTGAGTATTGTGAATCTAATTAAATTATGTAACATATACAGAAATAAAGAACTTATTCATAAATTTTCATATATGAACACTAGGAAAAATTTTGAAAACATTGGTTTTATTTAAATTCTTAAAAATATCATTTAACACATATTAATGACATTATCTAGTGATTTATATTATCATTATTAAAAACAAATGCTTTGGTGAACTAGTATAGGTTTTCACATTAATAATATCAATTCTAAATAATTATATACTCAAATAACCCTATAAATACATTTCTGCATAACACATTATCCAAATAGAACAGTGAATTTCATAAACAATTGTGACTGAGAAATAATTTCATATGTAGTAATTAAATCTAATAACAGTTAAAGGTCATTTTAAAATGTTTCTGCAATTACACTGAGGTGAATTAGATTGTTTTTTGAGGTTTTCTTAAGCACACCTGAAGCACAAGACAAATGAATAAATAATAGACAGATCTGACCACATAAGAATTAAAATCTGTGTTACTGCCTCTACAGAGCTGAGGTCAGTTCACTACAATCTACCTTCCAACTCATTACAACTAATCCCACCTGACAAAGGACAAGAATTATGCCAAACCTCTGAAAAATAAACAAAGGGAAGTAGATTGTAGATTCTATAAGAAAATGTGTGACCCTTTAAT